CTGTTAACACCTGCACTGTTTATACCCCTAGTATGACTAGCTGAAGAAGTCATGCCAATATAACTTCTAATTCAAAACAGGTGAGGAAGGCTCTAAACTCTAATACTGGAAAGATAGTCAGTAAAATTACACATGAGAAAACACTGTCTCTTTTAACTGTTTCAACAATCATTAAGGATAAGATAAACATTTTTGAGCATATGGTTAAGCACTTTACCAATGAAGAAGCAAGAGTAAATTCATGAGATGAAGAAGGTTTTGATGATTTGAGAAGACCCAATCCAGAATATAATTTCTGAGTTTCCTGACAATTCAAACAAAAACATGCAGCCTTTTTGAAACCCTAAATGACAAGCCAGAAGACAACCACATGACTTTAATGCAACCAAGGGGCTGGTTTCAACGGTTCCAATGCAGATTTGGCATACACAATGTACACACAACTGGGGAGACTGGAAGCGTCAATGTTGAAGCTGCTGAAAAATTCACGGATGGGCTAGCACAGGTAATAAAAGATGAAGAATAGCTACCACCGCAGATTTTCAATTTGGATGAAACAAGTTTGTTTTGGAAAACGATGCCAGAACAGACCTATATTCACAGAGGCGAGGCTGATGACTGCTTTTACGGTATTAAAGACAGAAAGCTGCTGCTGCTTGGAGGAAACGCTGTTGGATTTCAATGAAAGCTTTCTCCTGTTTACTGTCCCGAAAACCCCCAAGCATTCAAAACCAGCTGTCAGTGTACTTACAGGAACAGCTCCAAGTCTGAGTGACAACTGTGTGACTCTAAGGCTGGTTTTTAAATGATTTCTACCTAGAAATGTGGGCCTACTGCCTTGAAAGGAACATTTCTTCAAGACGCTGCTTGTCAATAACTCGAGGACTAGATCCAGATGTGAAAATGGTGGTGTATCTAGTTCCCTATAAAGTGGTTCTGATTCAGCCTATGTATTAAGGCACAAGTGCTGTCTTCAAGGCTAACTACTTACAAATTACATTTCCTCAGACAGTAGTTCCAATAAGATGGAAGTACAGTTGTGGTTATCACTGTTTAGTGCCAGCGAGTCGGTTCTGACCCATAGTGACCCTGTATAGGGTTTCCGAGTAGCTGTGAGTTTGAACCACCGACCTAGCGGTTCAAACAGACCTTGTGGTAGAGTGCTTCTCCTACAACACCACAGTTGTTGTTGTTGGGTGCCATCAAGCAAGTCTCTAAGTCAGAGTGACCATGCACACAAACGAACACACCAGTGCCTGGTCCTGCGCCACCCACACAATTGCTGCTACGTTTGAGGGAGGCCACAGCTGCTGCCATTGTGCCAATGTGTTTTGGGGGCGGGTCTTCCTTCACTATAGCAAGCGTGATGTCCTTCTCCAGGGATTGGTTCCTCTGGATAACATGCCCGAGGTCTGAGAGATGACGTCTCACCATGCTGGCATGTAAGGATCATTTTGGCTGTACCTTCTCCAAGACAGATCTGTTTATTCTTCTGGCGGTCCATGGTACTTTCAATGTTCTGCTCGAACACTTTAACTCAAATGCACCAATTCTTCTACGGTCTTCCTTATTCACTGTGCAACTTTCACAGTCATGAGAGGCTACTGAAAATACCACGGCTTGGGTCAAACGCACCTTAGTCCTCAAGTTGACATCTTTGCTCTTCAACACTTCAAAGCAGTCTTGTGCAGCAGATTGGCCTAATGCAATATGGTGTTTGATTTCTTGCTGCTACTTTTCATGAATGTTGATGGTGGGTCCATGCAAAATGTTAGATAACTTCTATCTTTTCTCCACTTACCATGATTTTAAGAAGCTCTGGTAGCGTAGTGGTTACGAATCGGGCTGCGAACCTCAAGGTCAGCAGTTCAAATCTACCAGCGGTTCCGCGGGAGAAAGATGAGGCATTCTGCTCCCGTAAAGATTTACAGCCTCGGAAACCCTGTTCAGGGTTGCTATAGGTCAAAACCGATTCCACAGCACTTAACAACAACAAAAACAACCATGATTTTAATTTACTGGATCAGTTGTGAGGACTTTTATTTTCTTCACACTAAGGTGAAATCCATACTGAAGTCTTTGATCTTTAACAAGTCAATTTTACTTCCAACAAGCAAGGTTGTATTATCTTCACATTGCAAGTTTTTAATAAGTTTTCCTCCCATTGTAATGTCATATTCTTCTGCATAAAATCGAGCTTCTCATATTATTTGCTCACCGTGCAAACTGAATAAGTATGGTGAAAGACTATAACTATGGCATACACCTTTCCTGATTCTCAACAATTCAGTAACCCCTTGTTCAGTTCAAACAACTTTAACAGCTCTGTGCTGGAAAGCAAATCTTGGAGTCTCTTTTAACATTCCACTTAGTCATGTCTTTCTTCATTTATGATGTTCTTGAAGTCACCATCCTATAGCTCTTCTAGGTTTTGGTCCTTAGTGTCCAATCCATCCAATCTCTTCTTATTATGTTCTCTAGGATATGTTCAAGACCATATTTGGGCTCTTGTGGACTTGTTTTAATGTTCTTCAACTTCAGTCTGAACTTGCAAATAAACAATTTATAGTCTGTTCCACAGTTGGCCCCTGGCCTTGTTTTCACTGATGATACTGAGCTTTTCACCACCTCTTCCCACATATGTAGTCCATTTGATTCCTGTGTACTCCATCTAGTGAGGTTCATGTGTATAGTCATCTTTTATGTTGTTTTTAAAAGGTATGTGCAATGAATAAGCTACTGTTGCCATTGTTAAGTGCCACCAAGTCAGTTCCAATTCATAATGACCCTACATAGAGTGGGTTTCCAAGGAGTGGCTGCTGGGTTTCAATCTCTGACCCTGAGGTTAGTCCAGTGCTTACTCTACAGTGCTACACAAGGACTCTGAATCAGTCACTGGGCTTACAAAATTCTACCATGCAATCTCCAGAATAATTTCTACCACAAAGGCCAAATTTTCCAACTCAATATTCCCAACCTGTGCGTTCTAATCACAGGTATTTATCAGTCTATCTTGATTGCATGTTTGAGCTATCTCAGACTGAGGAAGTTGGTAGAATTCTTCAATTTCATCATCACTAGATTTAGTAGTTGGTATGTAAATCTGAAAAATAGTGGTATTAACTGGTCTTCCTTGTAAGCTTATGGATATTATCCTATCACAGACAATGTGTTGTACTTTAAGATAGATCTTGACATGTTCTTTTTGACAATGAATGTGACGCCATTCCTCTTCAATTTATCATTCCTGTCATAGTAAACTTTGTGACTGTCAGATTCAAAATGGCCACCAGACCATATCTGCTCACTAATGTCTAGGATATCGATCTTTATGTGTTACATTTCATTTTTCACAATTTCCAATTTTCCTAGATTCATACTTTGCACATTCCAGATTGGACTATTAATGGATGTTTGTAGTTGTTTCTCCACATTTTTGGTTGTGCCCCATCAGCAAATTTACATCCTGAAAGCTTTTTTCATTTGTGTCATCATCGTCAACTTTACTTTAAGGAGGCAGGTCTTCCCCAGCTGTATTTTGAGCATGACTTCCAACCTAAGGGACTCATCTTCTGGCACTGTATCATAAGGTTTTCAGTGGTTAAACATTCAGAAGTAGTCCATCTCTCCTTCCTCCTAGTCTGTCTTCACCTGGAAGGTCAACTGAAACCTGTCCACCATGGGTGACCCTGCTGGTATTTAAAATACCCGTGGCATAGCTTTCACCATCAAGGCAACACACAAGCCACCACAGTATGACAAACTGACAGATGAGTCAGTTTGTAACTCTTGATAATTTAAGTATGATGCTGATAATTATAAATATTTCCATAGGGAACAAAAAAACTTAAAACTGAAAAAAATTTTAAATGAAAAATCCACTGCCGATGCTACAGCAACACAATCTTACCCATTTATTACCCTAATTACAGATTTATATTTACATGAACTCCAGAATTATAAGCTTTAAACATCTTGGTTTAAATGGCAGGTTTAAAAACCTGTTACAAGTCTTGATGTTGTTGTTGTTATGTGCCTTTGAGTCGGTTCCGACCCACAGCGACCCTGAACAGGGTTTCCGAGGCTGCAAATCTTTATGGGAGCAGAACGCCTCATCTTTCTACCGCAGAGCAGCTGGAAGTTTCGAACTGCTGACCTGAACAAGTCTTCTTAGAGATACACAAACTTTGGCTGATTTTCTGGGAGTTAATTTTTTTCCACCCTAGAAACAATACTGGACTTTTGATGCTGCCCTATGGATCAGCACTGGACTGCTAACCACAAGGTCGACAGTTCAAACCCACCAAGTGCTCCTTGGAGCCCCGATACAGGGTTCCTATGAGTCAAACCGACTCGATGGCACTTACCAATAGCAGAAAGTCCTAGTGTAGTGCTACAGGAAAAGCATTGATCTGCTAACCTCAAAGTTAAGTGGTTCAAATCCACCAGTCACTCCTAGGAAACTCTACATAAGGTCACTATGAGTTGGAAATGATTCAACAGCACTTAACAACAACAACAACAACAACAACTAATAAAGATATATCTGTCTCTATGCATCTAATTCTTTAATCTTCCATCAACTATCAATGATCATTTCTGAGATTTAAGGTCTACCTTCGAGGCTTACATTCCTCTTTTTAGGAAACAGAAATTAGTCATGTGGCAAACATTTTTCCTGTTCTTAACAATATTTTTTACTTTTGTGAAAAAACATCAAACACAACATTTGCTAATTCAACATATTTCACGTACACAATTTAGTGATATCAATGACGTTAATTACATTTGCAACCTTCACCAATATTCAATGCCAACTCTCCCATCACCGTAAGCAGAAAATCAATGTTTCCTGTACAGTGACTCCTCTACCCTTCTCCCTCGTTATCACGGTAACCTCCACTAACGCTTCGGTCTCTATCTCTGCCTATTCGGGATAGTCCATATATCGTTCTCACAATACTTTTCACAATCGGGTAAACACTTTTAATTTTACGCACCTTCTTCCATTAACCCTCGGATCTGCTCATCTTTCTCTTTCAAAAGGTCTGTAGTTTCACTGCTATTTAACCTGATGGCAAGTTCTTCTCTTATATTCTTGATTTCCTATTTAAAAAAAAAAAAAAAGTGACTACCCTTAAAAGTTACTTTCATTCTAGTTATATTTTCCAATTTTTTCCCATATTCAGTGATACCATCAACAACCCCATTCCC